TTGTCTTAAGCCTACGGCATACTTAAAGAAATCAGAATAACAATTACAACATCTTACACATGACTTAACTTTATTATACATATCTCTAATGATTCGCAATATTTTACCTTGAATGCCACACTTATACATTTTCAACCAAAGCGAGTTTCTACATATGCTATCAAAACAAGATTTTAAATCAATAAACCCTACATATAACCTTTTATTATTATTAAGATAGTGTTGAATTACATTTTGTAAAATAAATATGGCATCTATAGTTGATTTTCCTTTCCTGAAACCAAATTGACAGTCTGATATAATGCAATTGTTTGAACAAAAATTTTCAATTCTAGTATTTAATACAGTAGTAAAAAGTTTAGATAAACAACTTAGGAGAGTAATTCCCCTGTAGTTTTTTACGTCACCTGAGTCACCCTTTTTGAACACAGGCACAATAACACCCTCTGTCCATTTATCTGGGAAAAACCAGACTCTAAAATAATATTAAATAAATCACATATATGTCCACATAAAATATCTATGGACGATATAAAATACTCATTTAATAAATAGTCTGATCCGGAAGCTTTATTCTGTTTTAAGGATTTTACAGCTTTACGGATCTCCTCACATGTAATGGGTATATCTAACTCATCAAACCTACAATCACTTGAATTAAAATCATGTTCATTACAAAACGTTTTACCCTCTAAATTTTTTGATTCAAAAATATTGTTAGATAAATTTTCAAAATATGTCTTGAAATCTTCTACAGAAATGTCATCTGAAACAGATGTTTTATTTTTTTTAAAATGAGACCAAAATTGCTTTGGTTTACTAAATCGTAATTTTTCAATTTCAGAATATTTCCTCTTTATATATGATTTCTTTTTCCTACGGGTTAAATCTTTATATTCTTTTTTACATATAAAAAAATATTCTCTACTTTCTACATCTTTACAATAATTAAAATTATTCAAAGCATCTAGATAACGGTTTTTCAACGATCTACATTCATCATCAAACCAGTCTGCATTATTTGAAGTAAAACTATCAGTGAATGAAGCGTTATGTTTTTGTTTATAATTCTTCTCAAAAAATGGGTCAGCCACGCCCCTTAGTAAGCAGGTAAATATATTTTACCGTTTTATATAAATGCCAAAATGCACAATGAATTGTTAAATTAGTCAGTATGAATACAGAATAGAGTATTTTTATATTGCGTTGCTATTTGTATATTCATTTCCCAAAATGACAACGCAATGAAAACAACAATTATCGGCGCTAAGTTCTATTCCATGCCCGAAAAGAATTCGACGAGAACTGTCAATAAGTGACAAAGTTAAATAAATAAAAGACAGTGAAACTTTGCCGAGACCTACTTTAAAAATCTTTATCTGACAAATATGGTATCGGCAATATTTACAATGGGAGCATTATTATAAACAAAAAAAGCAACCTATGTTCGATAAATCATTATCCATTACCCAAATGCATATACGGATGTAATCGGACTATATCGTTATGAGGTAACTGCTGTTGGTTTAAATCCAAAATTTTATTGTATTTATATGCAATAATAGGACAAAAATAATTAAAACATATTTTATTGTATTTTTATCATTTAGCAATATACGTACACATGATCATGAAAATGCAAATATACAGCATCCTTTGTAAGTCATTGCTCGGTACATAGGATCCTGAACAGCTGACGGGGACATTGAGAATACCGGACCGCTGAGAAAACCGGACAAAACTCTCGGTCCGAAAGCTGTCCGGTTTTCTCAACTTTCACTGTAGTTAAGAGATTTAATTTATTAGTTTGTAATATGCATGTAAATTCCAAAAATTAACATTGAATAGTTATTTAAAAAATGTATATAACTTCCTTACAAAGAAATGGTAAACGATAGTTTAAGTAAGAAATCTATTATAAGCAAAAAAAACACAAACAATATAGCAATGGTTAGAAGATTTGTATAATGGAATTTATTACATGTTGACATTGTTTTATCATACCATAACACAGCTGTGTATAAGTAATTCAACATACAAACAAAACTGACCCGGCAGTTACAATATCTTATATCTTCACTTTAGAATACCTGTTTATAGCAACACAAGACCCACTGAATGCAACTCAAGAGGGAAGGTTTATAGATGCACCAGATGTACAGTTTACTATTATATGGGCGAGAAAGCAAAGTGCGTAAACACTTTTACAGAAAACACTTAGTTTTTGATAACGTACCTTTCTACTGCAGCATTTGTAAAGTTTTCACTTTGTCAAAAACTGATTTGGAGAACTACGTAAAACAAATTCTCTATCGTGCACAAAAAGCAACAGTAAATGCAAGGTTGGAAAACAATGTAAATGAAAGTGTTTGAGAAGATTGCCATAAAATATGAAACATTATTTAGTAAATTAAAGTGACATAACAAGACTCAGCAAAGAACAAACAAAAATTCACTAAAAAAAGGTGAAACAAAGCCAAAGAAACAATATTGCAGCAGGCTGCAATGATAGGTGGCATTGTAACGAATTCAAATTACACAGAGAATAGTTTACCTCAAATATTAAATGGAACCGACCCTGTCACTATTTTACCTACAAAAAGATCCATTAATAAATACCAAATACGTCGCCGTAAAATCATGAATAGCTATGAAAAGTTCAAAATCAAACACAATAAGCTCATATTGTAGCAGCAATGAAAAAGGATGTGAGAAATGTTTGAAATACGAGAAATAAAACTAAAAAAATGATGTCCATACAATGGAGATAGTTTTGAAGCAAGTAAAAATAAAAATGAAAGACATTTAAAAATGATCCATGATATAAAAAGGCCAAGATTGACCGATTGCACCCCTGGCTGCTTAACCGGCGAAAATACCTCATAAATGGGTCACTGACAGGAAGTTTGATCATCTGCCGGCGGCTTCACGCTCGGTCTCGGAGCGGCTGTCTTGGCGCTGAGTGCCGACCTCTCGGGAGGCCCGGATCTGGAACCAGGGTTTGCAAAGTCCCCTCGTCTCAGTCCATCGTTCAAACTCTGACCTATCGTTAAAGGCCTGTTAGCGTACGGATCGCGGACGGCCCATGAGTTAAGTCCTCCTCTACGCAAGTCCTTTAACAATCAAATGGGGTCATTGGTAGGAAGTTCGAACCTCCGACGCCGGGTGGGCACTCGATTCCTAAAAGATATTGAATGATTTGTCTGATTGTGAGTAATAGGCATGTTTATAACATTTATGCGTTCTTGTTACATTTATGTATATAGCGTCTTTGTATTGGGCGTTCTGCATCATTGATTTTGGTGGGCGTTTCTCTTGTTTATGACAATTGCTCACAGATCATGTTTTCAAAACATGTCAAATCTTAGATAATTGCTTTTTATCTTATATAATATTTCTTCTATCCTATTGATTTGAACTTTGCGTACTTAAAAGATAATTTCAAAATATAAATGTTAGTATTTCTGCAGACTTCTGCTCAATCCTGCAACTGTTATTTATGACATCACACTTTCTGCCAAATTCTGCCGATTCCGGCAGAATTCTTTAAGCATAAAAGGAGCATGTTTTTTTTATAATTTGAGGTTATGAATTCAGAGGATTAAGATCTGACATTGTTGACTTTTTGGGGTGAAAATCAGAATAAGATATTGAAATTTCATTTTAATACGCTACTCAGGATTACTATCTCGGTGACTATGATTAAGGTCAAGGTCGCTATTGATTAAAATAGAAATTCAGTGTCCAAATAATAATTAAACTGTCACATATTGACGGCATATTTTGTGTTTGGGTAGCTTACATCAAGACGCAACTCAAAATTGCTTCCCAGATGTCTGTAGTCTAGGTCAATGTCACTGTTGCTTAAAAAGAAATTCATTTTTTGCATTACATCTGACGTTTCTTTAGATCTATTGACATCACATTTTGTATGTGGGCAGCCGAAATCAACACCAAATTGGAAATGATACGCAGGTGTCAAGGTCAAGGTCACTACTTAAAAAAACATATTAAGTTTTCAAGTAATAACTTGAGTTTTGACGTATTGCCAACAGACTTTTCGTGTGAGTAGCTTAAATTAAGATGCAGCTTGTGATTGATACTTATATACCTGGGAGCAAGGTCAAGGTTACTTAGGGTTAGCTTCTATGCAATATCTTCAGTACACTTTGATCTATTGATACTTTACTTAGCATGTGTGTAGCTTAAATGAAAATACAACCTGGAATTGCCACTCAAGTTTCTTGAATATTTTTATTTTGAACTACTAAAAATAATTTCATAACAGCATCATACTTCACTGCCATATTTCATTCATAATTCCTGTCATATCAATACTTGGTTGTTGAAAACCTGGTTTTCGACGCATTGGGGCGCTTGTTTTGTATTCTTATTTATAATATACAGGTTTCGTAACCTCTTATCCCCTTTCAACATTCCATTGTTATTTAGTTTATGTCACACACATTCTTACTTTGGACCATATACCGCTTTTCATGGAATGACAATAGTATATCACATTGAAGGTTCCATAAGAACACATCTGCGAATGTTTCAAAATGTATATTTGTTCAAATACGACAGTTTGATATATTTTCAGTTTTTACAGCGTTAATCATGTGCATAGAAGGGAAAAAAATGCGTATTACTATTAAAAGTGAAACGCTATTCATCATTAATCGTCTGATAAAGACAAAAGAGGTCAGATCCATTTAATCAAATTTCAGTTGCATTTAGTATTGTTTTATGTTTCTGTAAGTCATTAGTACTAATATATTCCATGGCTTGTAAAAAGTTAAAACTTGAACTTTCATTTAATTCATATATGAACTGTTACAGAACTTCAATATTGATAATAGTACAACATATTATTTAAGATTGTCAAAACAATAAAAAGGTAAAATAGAAATATTTTTGCTTCAGATAATTTTATAAGAGCTTGACATGAAAACATGGAACATTTTAATCTTTATAATAAAATTCAAAAATGCATGCTATGAGATACAGTTGTTTTGCCTTATAATTGAAAAATGTTTAAATATATTTACGTTCTATGATAATGCAAAAAAGGGTATTCTATATGAATCAGACAAACGTTAAAATAAAAAAAATTCAAACATTTTTATACTTTTGGTCAAACTTGTGGCTCAAAAATAAAATGGTGTTAGGTTTATGACCAGTACTCAACGCGAAAGGCCAACGAATAGTCAACCAATATGCCATTAGTGTAAACACATACGGCAAGATTTATAAAGAGTATATAGCAATATAACACCTAACATACATAATATAAAAATTGTTCTACCATCGCCGAAACAACAAAGTGTTCAGGATGAAGTTTCATGCTTTTCGTTGCGATTGTTATATCTTTGTTATGTAGTGCAATAACAGAATGATGCATGCCCGTAAACACTTTCCGTATAACAGATTCATATAATAAACCAATATAGTCAGGTTGTCTTATCACCCATCCATCAATTCCATCGTCACGATGCATGTGAGGTAATTTGATTAAAATTTGAGTTTGACTCATTCTTTCTAATTTTTCTAAATAAAACCGCATAGCGATAACATTTGCTATGAAAAACTGAATACGCTCTATTTGTAAATGCGAATATATGTGAAGGATTACAACACGTTTGCTTGTATTTTTGAAATCCTTAACTTGCTCAGATAGAGGTTTTGAAAAGTAACTACTCATATTTGATACCCCGCCAGCAACAGCTGGTATATTGTGAGGTATATATATAATCCATAAATTGTATTTCAAGCAATATGTTTCGTAACGTGTGTGCCATCGTTCGCCAGATATGCGTTTAATTGTACAACCTAAAGCTAAATTCGAAGATTTCAGGTGCGCTAACCATTGCAAACTTGTTGAATCTCCCCATAGATAGATAATTGTGTTGCGAAGACATTGTCCTATAAATATATTCCTTCCTGTTGTGGAAAAAATAGAATGTTATGAATTAACTCAATCTCTGCGCATTATTAGCTATTAATTAAAAGAAATGATAGCATAGCTAAATAAAAGCTTCATAATTTCAGGAAAATAAAACTGGACCAATTATTTTTTCTAGAATAAAGTCTTTTAACAGCATCAGTTTCAAAAGCAAATTTTTAGTTGAATCGAAAATACTCAATGTCTGTCTAAAATTTGCGTTTTGCATAAAACAGTTCGAGATTCTAGATTGTAATATAATATAGTTTGATAAAAAATAATTGGATGTATATAATGAAACGATTTTTTCTCAAACGCAGAGGAAATTTAATCTTATTTCAATCATTTTATAGTAAATTCTACCAGTTCTAACTGATATTGTAACGTTTGTTTTCAAATAATGTTCCGGTTTTTATCTTGAAAACGTTAATTTGTCATGTAATGTATGTATGTATGTATGTGTGTATGTATGTATGTATGTATGTATGTATGTATGTATGTATGTATATATGTATGTATGTATGTATGTATGTATGTATGTATGTATGTATGTATGTATGTATGTATGTATGTATGTATGTATGTATGTATGTATGTATGTATGTATGTTTGTATGTATGTATGTATGTATGTATGTATGTATGTATGTATGTATGTATGTATGTATTTGTGTATGTATGTAAGTTTGTTTATTAAAGCAACTGTCTTAAACAACAGCTAAACTCGTTTACGATCTGGATGCGCATGACTCACTACTTAACATTTTCTAAAACATGATTCTTGTTCATTTGATGTAAAAAATGTCAATTTGTAAAGGCTATCACATTTTTTCACAAGCTTCTAGCGTAAATGTTTTAACCCTTTACCTCATATAGCCGTGTTTTGACGGCTTTATGACCCTCCATTTGAGGCCTAAATAGTGCAAAATTACCGAATTTTAGGCTCAAAACACTGTTTTTCGTTTGGGAAATGTTGTTTAAAAAGTGCCTCCCGCTATCAAAAATGTACATCAGAGGGTTGTCAGAAAGGAAGATATGCCTCTTCTGTTTCGGGGGTTTGAAAGGGACAGCAGCCCCCCTCATCACCAAGAAAATATTGGACATGTGACAGGCTTTGAATGGACTCAGGTCGATCATAAGGTAACGTGTAACAAATGATAAAAAGCATTATACTCCATCTCAATCCATTGAGAAGTTGCAGCACTTTGAAATCAGTTTTGATGGAAACAATAATGCAAAATAGTGATTTTTGGCTATTTTGAGACGTCCCCCATTTGCCATGGTAACAGGAAATTTAAGATTGAGCATGCTGTTAAAGAGGCTATAGTCCAGTTAACATGTGTGCCAAGTTTCATCAGTATTGAAGCATTTTACATAGTTTAATAGCAGTTTGAACTTGTAAGAGGAGGCTTTTCTATGAAAACGGCCATTTTTCACAATATGCTCATGAGGTAAAGGGATACACAGGCAAAATAATGACAAATATACAAAAATGATCTTCTGTACTCAAATCACCCTAAAATGACTTTTCCTAAAGTCCCAGCATGAATTTCTGTATAGATTCTATATATTTTGGGTTTGAAGCTTAAATATATTTATATATGTTGAACGAAATTTGGTCGCCAACAGAATCACCGAATAGTTTAAAAACAAGTAATGTGATTTGAACAAACCCTGGAAGTTACTATAACAGGTATTGCAGATATTGTATGATTAAAACAAGTCTAAGTAATTGATTTGACATGTCCTTTAACGTTTCCAGAGTACACAGTGACAACTATTGTAAAATCATAGCGCTCTAACCTGACCCACGCGGGTCAAGTTAGGAAAACGCCATTTTATTCTTTATATGGAGAACAGTTTTGTTCTTTTGACTGTTTAGTGTATTCATTTTGATGACATTTACAGAATAATGAATGAAAAATTAAAAACTAAGAAATTAAAATTTTGCCTGTGTCTCCCTGATGTCAATGATTACAGGTTATCACTTAATACCCATATTTACATAGATTATTACCTTTACAATGGGTCATTATCCACTTTCCTTGGTAGAAATAACCTGTTGACTGTTTCAGGAACCAAAGTTTGCTCCTGTTATAAGCACGACATTGTTGCATTTCATTTTCCTGTAGTCTGTGATTTCTTTTCGAAGTTTCAATTGTTATATTGATTACATCTCCAACTCTATATTGATCCCTGGGGCAATAAAAAATTAAGGCTAAATATATTTCGCCGCCCTTGAAACAGTTAATGAAGTAAAAAATTTGTGCTTTATCTTTATTTCTCTGTTGTCTACTATGATAACATTATGATAGTCGTAATAAATCAATATCTACATTTGTACGGAATTTTCAAAATTGAAGGAAAAAACAATTCTCCCATCACACGAAACTTTTCAAGTTCAGTTCATTTAAATAAATACTGATATAGATACAAACTATAACATATACAATTAGATTCTTATTGTTTAGAAAGAGACACCGAGGTTTTAAAATATATATGTCAATCCTGAATTAAAACAATATGCGGAACTGGTGACTGTTTGTTATGGCTGAAATTCAGTAAAACATTGTGGAAGTTTGTAAATGATTAATTTGTGTGTTTTGCTTTTTACACCCCAAAGGAAATTATAGTTTGATGATCAATTTATATTTGATTTTTGATATATATTTTTTTCTACCTTATATGTTGAATTTTGAAAATATGTACACAAAAATCATTTTGTAACTTAAGGTTATAATACTGCAGTTTGGGAAGGATAGACATTTGAAGAATTTTATTATCAGAATATTATGAAGGTCAACAACATGCGTAAATAAACAAGGCATCAGTACACTATGTTTTATGTAGAACTGGTTTTATGCAATTTATTTCAAATAAAAAAAAAAAAAACTTTCTTATCATTGATGTTGCACTTTAGTTTAAATCTTGTGATATACCTGAAAATGAAGATAAAACTGGAAATGATCGTTCTAATATATCTCACAGTTATAAATGGGAAAACAGGAAATATATAAAAGTAGTTTTTTTGTTTTAGTTATAGTGTCTTGAATGAATTTGTTAATATATATCAAAATGATGATGATGCTCTTAAGTAATCATGAGATAGATCAGACTTTAAAAAACTTTATGCAACAAGAATTAATATATGTAATGGAACAAGAGCAAAAATAGTACAAGCTCTTTATAAATATGAAACAAAGAAAAAAACATCATGTTTTCTGAACTTTATGTTCCTTTCACTAATACTGATATTTCAAATACTAGCAAACAAATAAATTACAGGATAAAACTTTTGTGTTTAATAAAATGTTTTATACAGGTATTCTCCATCAAGTTGGACACAATGTTTTATTGAACATATATATTCATAAAAAGAGGTTGAAGATAATTGTAGGGGTTCTGGACGAGCACAGAAAGCATTGTATAAACCTTTTTAAATTGAAAAGATTTCTTTACATGTCTATAAAACATAAACTGAATCTGTTTGGTACTGTGAAAAGTTTTAAACCCTTGTTTGCAAGTCCCAGGACTATTTAATAGTCGTGTTGAAAAAATTTCACTTAGGTATTAAAAAAT